GTATCTGTCTCCCACTTCATTGTGCCACCACTACTCCCTTCCCCACTCTCAATTCTCATTCTCTCTTTCTCTTCTTCTGCTACCGCTTCTGCTTCAGCAGCCTTCCTTCTCTCTTCCTCCTCTTGTTGTACCCTCTTCATCTCCTCCTCCAACCTCTTCATCTTCGCCCCCTGCTCATCTGCGATAGCCTTTAGCTTCGCCTGCTTCTCGCGCTCTTTTCTCTCCTTGTTCTCTTTCACTAAGGCGGCCATCTTTGCTTGCTGCTCAGGGGTGTAGGGACTAGTCTCCGTCCCACTACGGGTCTCAACCATGGTGATAAGTGTACAACCGGGTTAGTGGTTCCAAACCTCACCACATAGACTCCGACCCCTGACTGACAAACCTATAGACTCGATCTCAGACTTACAGAATCCTAACAAGGACCCTGTCAACTATGGTCTCTGGCCTAGACCTATGCTATGGCTGTCACTACTGAACCAGTGGCTCATCAGGAGGCATTTAAGGAGATCCCCCGTAACTCCTCAAGAATTCCTTAACGTCGCAGACACAACGACGTGATCGGCTTGGTTTTGCCTGTGCTTTCAGCCCACAACTCAGCCTTTTCGGCCTACTGTGCCACACCGAGCAGCCCGCCGGTTTGTACCGGTCCTTGGAAGGGTTCGTATCCCCCGGGACAGTCGAGTCGTCAGACACATATCATCAGCCTTACTTGTAGGGGAGTGGTTCCAACAGGCCCTCAACACTTAAAGACGGCCTCCGTTTCAGCCTGCAGCTCAGAGTTCGGACCCTCTACACTGAAACTGAGCAGACTTGCCGGACAGTACCGGTCATTGGGCTAGACGAGTTGTTTAACGAGCGCTCGCCGCTCATGCCCAGGTCTCCAGATACCAGAGTAGAGACTGGTCCTACTAAGTCTCGTGCAGGTTTGGCAGCAAGGCCCTATCCTTCATCCACAGAGTTCTATGACCTATGATAGAAGAGACTCAATCCAGAAAGAATAGACAGACAGACTGTACTCAGCAAGTACCAAGGGGTATGTGCACATCCATAGGGCGACGGGCAGGCTAAGGGCTTGGCGAGATGTTACCAACTCCAAAGTCTTGGCCAACGCCTTGGTCAGCGTCGGTCAACGCTGCTATGACCCTCGGTCAACTTTGGTCAACTCCGGTCAACGCCTCCGGTCAACCCTCTCGGTCAACTCCCCGGTCAGCTATGGCTGCCGGCACTT